TTCTATTAAAAAATTACGTAACACTTAAAGGCTGAAAATGACTTTTAATATTTCATTTCAAAGTGACTACAAAATATGCAATAAATTTCGTAAACATCAATTCTATGTTTTAAATCAATTAATGCTATCGTTCATTTGCATTTTTGTTTACTAAATTCATTTTTACTAAATAACACTTTAAATAAATTATTTGCTTTTCCGAAGGACATTTTCTTATGCCATGTAAATGAACGATAGCATTAATTGATTTAAAACATAGAACTCAGGTTTACAAAATTTATTGCATATTTTGTAGTCACTTTGAAATGAAATATTAAAAGTGATTTTCAGCCTTTTAGTGTTATGTAATTTTTGAATAGAAATTAATTTTTTTGCATTTAAATTTTCCAGTTATATATATTCCATATTGCTGTACATACCTAAAAGGTGGATATGTAAAAATTTGATATCAAATTAACATTTTATCTTTTAATCATAATATGCAGAACATTTTTGCATAGATTTATATAAAAAATAAGAGATTAAAATAAGCACATTTTACGAAAAATGCAGTAAATAGGTAATTGGAGATTTATGCAAATTTTTTACCAAAAATGTGCACTTATACACAGTAAAGAGGAGAAGACATCGGACTAAATTTTTACCAAAGTCATTCGTATATGCAAAGAAAACATAGGGAAGATTTAGGTCAATTATTATCAAATATATAAGTTTTTGTACCGTAAAATACAGGGGAATATCTACGTTAATTTCTATCTAAAGTACAATATAGTTAATTACCAAATTCAGTAAACGACTGTAGAGCAAAAAAGAAAACATCATACATTTAGATTATTTGAATGAGTGTGCTAAATTTTAAAATTGTTAAATATAGACCAGGAAATTGTAGAAAACTTACCTTTTCCAATAGTTTACCAAGTTGACTTTGTTATTTTCCTTGAAGATGAATGTTTAATGTCACAAATATTTCATTCATATCTTCAGATAATACACAAATATATACATATTTATTTATTAAAATTCAGTTTATCCCAAACATGTTAAAGAAAATATTAATTTGCATGCAAGTTAATCGAGTAACTTCTGTTTTAATTACACACATAATTATGATATGTAAAAATTTTACATTTATCAGTCAATCTTGCAATGTATTGTAATCTATTATTGTTGTCTTTCTCAGTTTAAAATCTTATAAATATATTAGATCAGTACTAAAAGTTTCACCTCTACAAAAGAAATGCTTTATTGAGGTATTTTTAAAAAGTTCCCTTTTACAATGTAACTGTTAATTTCATAAATAAGTTCATAAAATTATGCAAATTCAAAATTACCTAAATATGTTCTTTATTTTATCTTATATACCAGATAAAATTTTAAAAAGTTAATTTGTTTAGGAATATTGAAGTTTTTAAATATTTATCTCATGTGACTTTTTCTATAACATCATTATAAATGTACATGTTGATGTGGACATACCAATTATTTTTTTTCATCAAATAGCTTTATGGTATTAAATGATTTAAAAGGAGGCAACTGGACAAAAGAAAGCAATTAGAAGTTGGCTAATTTTTTTATTAATTTTGTTGTCAAATGCTGTGCATTTTAGATTATGCTCATATGATGACAATGAGTTATTTAAATTATAAAATTATTATGAACATATCCCACATAAATTAACAAGTATCAAATTTCAAGTTGTTTGAAGTATTATGAACTGTAATACTTGCAAAAGAAATACACATGAAATTAATTTAAGAATTAGGTTTATTTTACAGGTATTCGAAAACTGCAATTACTGTTAAACAATAAAAACTAACATTAAATCTGAAGAGCATAATTTTTTTTCAATAATAAAATTCAACATAGACTTCATGCAGCTTCGCCATATTTGTTCTATAGTTCGCTGTCTTTAATATCCTGCTCGATTTTTGTAAAAGTGAATTCTTTGTCACCCAATGTTTTGAGAACAGCTCCTAAACAAGAAAAAGAAAAATTTGTAATAATTTCACACTTCAGATGTTTTCAGTTTTTTAAATATAGTTGAAGTATTAAAAGATGCATATAAAATGCACTGAGTATTTCATATTTAAAAATTTACATTTCAGTAATTAAAAATTTAATTTCATACTATCACACAGTAAGCTTTATTATATACCTTACACAATGCCTATAATTTCAAGTAAAAAATACTAAAGATTTGTTTAGAACTGCAAGGTTGAGAAAGTCTTTAATGGCTATGTTTGTATTTAAGTACATGAGAAAAAACTTAATTTTGTATTAATTATATTGCATTAGCCTTTTCAATTTTACTCCTACATATAGTAAAGAATATTCGCTTTCTTACAGATAACTTTTTCTTAAATAAAGAGTAAGCAGAAAACTAATCACAACACTATATACATATAACAGAATACTTCATAAACATATACATGTCATTAACATACGTATATGCATTAACAGGCTATTTTACACATTTCAATAAACCAGAAACCAATACACAATCAAAAGTATTATCAGTAAATTCCTCCAAAATCAGAGCAAAAATCTTTAATTATGATAACAATGGCATCTCAGTTTGCAATATAAAATATTTCAAGTCTACATTCATGTGCATTCTAAGCAAACAGAAAGCTGAATAACAATAAAATTATAAATACCATAAAAAAGTTAAGAGCCACGTAGAATGATAGCAAGACTAAATGAAGTCTTCCTTCAAAAATCAATTTAAAAATTCAAAAATTTGCCTTCCTGTTTAACATCTCAAAATAGGGTTACTGCTTTCACTAACTAAATTTCCTGTCTTGGCAAAATAAAAATTGTCACTTCTGTTGCAGGAAATATTTGCTGCAAACTTTGTATGCAAATAATCCAGTGAAAAAAATTGTGGCTTGAATATTTTCTTTATTAAATAAATGAAAAATTCCCACATAATATTAATTTATGATCCACATGAAGCTTTTTACCTCTACCATATCATGCAGCTATTTTAAAATATATACTCTCATATAAAAGCCACAGAATTTTTTTACCAATATTAATATAGTATAAATCATTAATAAATCTTCTAAAAACAGCCCCAAAATTTCTGAATTTGATACCCAAAACATAATTCTACGTAACTGTTAATGTATGCATTTGCTTGCACATACTTAAAATGAATTATACACACAAAAAACTTAACATATTAACTTTAATAAATTCTTAATTAGCAGGATGACTCAATTAAGGCAAAATATGAAAGAAATCTACCTGATGGAATAGTTGTAAAAGATATATTTAAAAAAAGCTAATATTGTTTACCTTACACATGGCAGAAATTGAGTAAACTGTATGCAGCTGGATTATTTATTAGGAATAGAAGTTAGATCAAAGTACCAAAGTCACACTAGGGCTTTAACCATTTGGGTGCAAAGAAGCATCTCAATTTAAAAAAGCTAATAGAATTTTATAACTTTTACAATCTAGTACAAATATTAGACACATAAACAACACTAAATGCCATTATTTACTTGCATATTTTCCTTCTTTGTGTACTTTACTCCTTAATTTTTCAGGATATGATTTAGAAACAGAGTTATGGTAAAAATGTATACTGGTAAAAAAAAAAAAAAATATTGCTGAAACTGATAAGTCCTTTGAATTATATACTATAGTGCAAAGAGGGATGGAATATGTGACTAAATATGATAAATCAGATTACAATAACATTAAACAAATAACATGAAAAACTGAAAAAAGAAATTTTATTTGAAATTATTTTTTAACTCATGGAAAGACAGACAGTATTTCCAACTTATTAAATTCAATTATATCTTACCTTTGTCAAACCAATATTGGTACTTTTCCATTTTGCCGGTGCAAATGATAAAGTCGCCCAAAATGGTACAACCGATGCCAAACAGAATATCCTCGCTGGTAACCTTTTACGTTTCATTTTCAAAACACGTCGCAGCTATTTCTATCAGACTGAATGTTTCTTTCAATACTGGGATACAATTACATAGAATTTTTACCAGATAGTTCAATTTTATGTCCTAAGACCATTCGCGGCAATTAAATCAATTAGGATGCAATCACACGCTCACCCGAAAATATAGAAAAAGCAAAATCAAGGGTTAAATTCATAAATTCTAATGAGAATGCACTAGTGAAGTAAAGCACTGTGGTTTTACATAATTTCTGAGTAAGCTATTCATACGAAATGAAATAATTCTTGCATTTAAACTTTTATTCCAAATTAAGATTTAACTTGAAATTAATGTAGATAATTACTGAGAATTAGCGTAGTTTAACATGAGATGAGACCACTTGGGGTCACGCGATATGAAACAACGAATCAGAATGTTGCACCATGAAAGCATAGAAAATTCTTAAATTAATCTCTTTTTACAAATACCAATTAATGCCTTTCTATAAATTCAGCCTTTTTCATACGTATAAATTTTGTAAAAGTAACGTGCAAAAAGTACTATATGCTTATTTCACCAAAATTATACGTATATTTTTGGAGATGTGCTGCTTTGGATGAAGATCATCAATAAAATCTTTGCTTGCTATAAAATTCGCATCTGTCAAATCCTCAGGATCATTTATCAGTGCTGTCGTGTGATAAAGAGGCAAGGAAATGAAAATTAGCATGCTCACACCTCTTCTTACTTTATTCTGCACTTGTTCCAATTTTCCACATTTTGCTTCCTTTCATTTTGTAATTGCTATGCGTGGTAGTGTTGTCTGTCTGTAGCAATTATTCAACACTATAAAATAAAGAGCTAAAGTAATTCAAGGAGAGCACAGAGATAAATTAAAATTTCTTTAAAACACAAAAATTAATTGCAGGATAAAGTCGTCTTTTTTTTTTTTATATTTGTTTCATGTATTTTAATTTATACTGAGGTACATTATTGAAATTAATTACTGTGCTCAGAATTTTGATTACTGCTTACAGGTCTCCTTTGAATATCTTTAAAAATATGTGTATTATGTGTGTGTATTTGTTGTAGGAGTTAACGCCAGTTGATGATTTGTGGTCATTCCTCTATATGTTGGTGTACTTAACTGAAGGCGAACTGCCATGGGAAGGAGAAACAGATTTCAAAGAGGTTTATTTTCTGCTTTTTATCATTTCAATTGATTTTTTTTTTATAATTATGAAATGAATAGTTTAGTCAGCTCGTAATTTTTATCTAGACATTTATTTATTTGCTTATTTTCTTTTTACTTTTACCAGTAATTATGTTAATCATCTGCAACTTGATTCTACTGTAGGGCAGTTTATTAGTCCTTGTGGTTTGAATCCTAGTAAACAGGCTGGCTGTGTAGATGTTTTTGTGGTTTTTCTGATGTGTAAAGTAAATGTGATAAACTTATCCCTTGAAAGTCCTCCGCAAAGGCATCCACCTCCTTATGCAGATAGCCATCATGTGTTTTGATTTTTTCAATAAAACCAATTGCTTGGGTTCACTCCAAAATCAACACATACTGAAGCTAAAACTGTTAATAAAAGAGCACAAAGCCTGAGATCTGGACTCGTTAGAATTTGGAATTTTTCCGGATATTAGATCATCAGTTTAAATTTAGTAAGATGGCTTGTAGAAATTAAACAATTAAAAACATGAAATAATGAAACATTTATGATCTAAGGATGTTAAAATTTACAAAAAAAAAAAAAAAAAAAAAAAAAAAAGCTTATTTATTTGTGTACTTTATTAAACATTTTTTTCAATGAACATTGTTTAAGTTGCTCAGATTTTTATGCTAATACTGTCTCTTTAAGACATAATTTCTTGTTCGGTTACAAAGTGCCATTTTTTTCAGGTCCTGCAAAAGCATTTTTTTCATGTCGAGAATTCCGACTTAATCATTCGAAATTTTTTTGTTTTCAGTAACCTCTCTATCACTTTCTTTACTGTCAGTAGCAGTATTTTCTGGAACTAAAACCATACTACAGATTTCGCTGCCCATTATTTGATTGATGATTGGGGCATTGTCATCGCAATGAAAAACGTCTGTTATATCATCTTCATTTATTACCAGTTCTCCACATTTATTTACAAAAGTCCATTAATAGAAAAATTTCACCTATGAATAGAAAAATAAATAGAAAAATTTCACCTTTCACGGTTTGCGATATCTGAAAACCGTGAGATTCTCAGCTATCATCTTCATCACCCTCACCATGAAATATGGTGGCTGGGCATAAGTTCTGTCAAGCATTTTTTAAAGTATCTGGAGACGCATCCTCCCATGATTTTGCGATGCTCCACACAGCAGATTTGAAACCATTTCAAAAATTTTTGGAACAGCTTGCCATTATTCAAGTAATTTAACATGGATTTTAAAAATGCTACTTTATATTTGCATTTCACTGCTCGCACTATTACGATATCTATTGGCTGAATGATGAACTTGCAATTTAGAGGAAAGAATATTATGGATACATTATCTCTCGCTAAAACTTTAAGTGAAGTATGAGCCATACAGTTCTCTATAATTAGGACAGTTTTTGGGGCATCAGATAAACGAACCAAATTCAAATGTTTCCGAGCCTCAGGTTTAAAATGATTTTCAAAGCAATTATTCATTAACACTTATGTTATCTATGCTCTTTTATTTTCATAATATATAACAGAGAAATTCTTTACTCCTTTAAATGCTCAAGCTCGTATATTTTTTTCGATTACAAAAAGTTTACACTTGGGCTTTCCTGCAGCATTTGCACATGCTAAAATTGTTAGTCTCGCTTTGGAATCTTTGGCACCAGTTACGGCCTTTTCTGTAGAGGTTGCCAAGGTATTTCGCCATACATATTGCCAGAAGAGACTAGTTTCTTCAGCGTTCTAAATTTGTTCTGGAGATAACTGGTCACTATTAATGAGTTCAGTGAATTCATCTGCAAATAGTTCAGCAGCTTCAATATAAGCTGAAACTTTTTTACTTGAAATTTTTAATTACCATGGCAATTTTTAAATTTGGTTAACCAACCTGTTGAATATATGTTTCATGAAACATTTTGGTTTGAGCCATAAGCATTGTATCCGTTAATGGCATGCACTCACTGCGACATTGTCTGACCCATTCAGTCATTTGTCATGATTGTCATTTATATCATAGCAAGTAATTTTTCTGTTATTCATTGCAAGTAATGTGTTAGAATACTAAAAAAAAATTGCTTTTTCCATTTTCTTATGTCATAACGTTCCAGTGCCATACTCCTTGCATAATTTTGAGACAGATATACCTTTCTCCATTTTTTGTAGCAATTCCACTTTTTATTTAATGGTGATGGAAACATGCTTTCTTGTTTTAAATCCTTTTGCAGCTCTATAGCAATTCTTTTGCAGAATTAAAAAATCATTTCGACATAGTCGAAAGCTGAAACTTTAATTTTCAAAAAATTATAAGCTGGATCAAATCAGAAAGTTAAGGAACAGGGCAATCTGCTGTATTAACTGAAATGCCTTGAAATAAATAAAGTATAATTTTAGTGTAGCTCTGATGAGGCTTCTGGGTTTATGTGAATTGTATCAGTTCTTATTATTGGATCAGTTATGTATCTGTTATTCTTAATTCAAATAGTACTAAATGTAATCTTTTGGCCTATGAGCCTATTAAACAGAGCCAAATAGTACTAAATGTAATCTTTTGGCCCTTGAGCTTCTTAACCAGAGCCAAATGTAATCTTTTGTCCCATTAACAAAATCTATTTTTAGCATATAGAAAGAATTTTTTATTTTCCCAGTCAACATTTCTTAATGCATTTAACTTAAATCTGTAGTCATCGCCAAGCGTAATGTCAGCATAAAAGGTTGCCATACTCTTTGTTATTCAATTATTAATATAAAGAAAATTTTAGGCATCGCTGTACGAGTCTTTACTCAAATTGTCATGTGTTGATCAACATGCAGTGATGAAAGCAAAATATAATAAATAATGATTCATCAGGTTGGCATCAAGGATATAAAATACTAGAAGGTATAAAATCAACGATGTTCCTGTGTAGAATGTTTCGGTTTGAGATGAATGCCAAGCAGATATCCAGCTATGGAGCCAAATTATTGATCTCTCAAATGTATGTAAACCCAAGTAGCACATGACATAGTGAAGACGTTGCAAACTGGTCGTAGTTACTTTTAACGGCGTTTTTACAATGCAGCAAAGACGGAAAATATTTGCCATTGCATCTTGGCAGTTTGTCAACGCCACTCAAACGTCATGATTTGACCACTTTTAGAGGTGGTTGTTTTAGCATTTTTTTCATAGTTTCAGTGTTACTTTTAGAATGAAAAAAAGACTAAATCTGCTCTTTCAAGAATCTGAAGTCCGGATAAGATTTATTTTACAGTGTTTCATTACTTTATTCTCTCTAAATAGGAATATAAGGTAGATTCATCTAATGAATTATAAACTTAATATAAATACATTTGAATTATTAAGCTTAATTAGTACTAAAAATACGTGCTAAATTGTTGTTAAAATAATTAATACTTAAATATTTTTTTTATAAATATTACAGGAAAGTGTATAGTTATATAGTCGTCGATTAATATTGCACTTTTCGAATGAAATGTTTTTAGTTAGAGCTTATGCATTTAATGAATTGCTTGGATTAAACAAACACTAACATTTCTGCTGTTGAGGCGTTCTCACATATGTGCATGTGCACATGACTGTTGTATGTTACTTTTTTGTGTTATTACAACCTATGTCCATACCAAATTTCATTAAAATCTATCCATTTGATCCAGTGATAAATGACCAAATGGGAAAATTCTGTTAATTCTGAACACAAGCATATACAATAAACAGCCTAACCAATTTGTGTTATTTATAATCTGTTTGTTCATTGCGAGCATTTTGAGGATCAATTTTTTATTTATAATTCATTTTTTTCATTGTCTGTGTTTTATAAATCCTGCCATTTGCTTAACTTTTGTATGCTAGCAAGTGATTGGATAAGGCCGCTGAAAACTTGAATTTAATTATTGTAGAAGAATGGAATGTGCAAGATGAGTGTCTTTTAAGAACTCATCCACTGAGGCACATTGAAAAAATTAGCCCTTGCATATTTTGCCTTAACAAATAATATTCTAAATTAGTTTAAAGAGCTCATTTTAATATGTGTTAGGTTTTGGCAGAAGTTCATGTTTTTTACATATATTTTATGTTCATGTTTTTTACTTATATATTTTTTCTTACTTTGTGATCATAGTTACAACTTTCATATGATTTTATTTTTAATTATTTAATATTGTTTGTTGTGCTAATATTTAATGTAATTTATTTATTTATTATAATTTGAATGCATCTGTTGTTATGCATCATGTATGCTTTATATATTTTAAAGAATTATCTATTTAAAACAACTGTATTTTGATGGGATGAAGTGTCATTTGTTAAGTATTGTCATAATGTCTTCTTCAAAGTAAAAAAGGGTGTGAAATACCATTCAGTTAAAGATAATTAAGGTTTGCGTTTTCAGAGATGTATGTATTGACTGTTTAATTTAATGAAAACTATGATCTATCTAAACTGCTATTCTTAGATCAGTTAGCAGCTATTTCTGATGTAGTCTTAACCAACCTTAACCAACTGTTGACCTGTTGTATTCTATATCTTGGCTACTACTGTCTTAGTAAAATTTTAAAATTTTGTTTTGTAGGTTTGCAAGATAAAGGAAAGCTTTGATCATCTAACACTCATTCGTAGAATGCCTCGTGATTTCCGTTTTTTTCTTGAGGAACTGCTGAAGATTAAAGGTTACAGAAGACCAAATTATCCTAGGCTGCATAGGATAATTAAAAGATGCCTGCGTAGAAGAGGAGTAGAAGAAAATGATCCTTATGACTTTGATGTATCAAGAGAAGAACTTATAGAAATTCAACAAATTCCTACGCTTTCCCGTTCTTCAAAAAGGTAAATTTTTTAACTTAATTAATTTTTAGACTACAAGCATGTATTATACCTAGTTCCTTTATCTTTGAGTATGCTGGTTCCATATAATTTCATGCTAAAAGGCTCTAATTATTGTCTTGGATTTAAAAACTAATTATATAGTTACCAGGAATAAACTTATTAGAATAATTTTATTCTGTGTGATTTGTATAATAAATAGTATTAAAATATTCATTTCTGCAATTTAAAGGCATATATATATATCTGAAGGGAATACCAATTTTAAGTATGCTGAATTACATTTAAACAAGAAACATTATGTAAGTCATCTACTACTATATGTAGAATAATTAGCTTTATAACATTAGGACTATGGTTATCTCCAGATAGCTAGTTCCAAAATTACATAGTTATTTCATATACTGATGTTTATTTATAAAAATAGCTCTATATATAAATCCCTGCATGATTTATCCAAAAATTTTCAGTTACAGGATTGTTAAAGTTCACCATTTACATATCTTGCATACCAACATAGAAATACAGATTTAAGGTGAAATTGTAAACCAGGGTTCATACGGTCCTTAAAAGTCCTTAATTTTTTTAAAAAAGGATTTTTGGTTCTTAAAAGTCCTTAATTTTGGCCAAAATGAATAAAGGTCCTTAATTTTGCTCATGTGACATTTCTTATCATTTCTAATGATTGCCATTCTATGTGTGAATTGCGATTTCTCATGAATATGGAATTAAAATTGCATGGCTCTTAACCAATCTGTTGGCGGATTTGCGTCGCAAACGATAAAAAAAAAAAAAAAAAAAAAAAAAAAAAAAAAAAAAAAAAAAAAAAAAAAAAAAAAAAAAAAAAATAAAAAAAAAAAAAAAAAAAAAAAAAAAAAAAAAAAAAAAAAAAAAAAAAAAAAAAAAAAAAAAAAAAAAAAAAAAAAAAAAAAAAAAAAAAAAAAAAAAAAAAAAAACAAAAAAAAAAAACAATAGCTACCCGAACGAAAGTATCGGTGGTCTGATTGGCTATTCACCCAATCTTTCGAAACAGATGTTATCCATAAATTTAGGCAGATTGTGACGAAAGCGTGAAGCCGGAAGTTCTTTAAGAGGCGAAAGTGATGATGAAGGTGCTCGAGAAAAAAAAGGGGGGATTCTGAAAATATTTGCCAAAATTAGAGCAATCCCAACCTGGAAGGCCACAACCCTTCCGACGCCAATAGGAACGAGATGCCTGGAAAGTGCATTTTCAATAAACTGTGGCTTCATCAAGCTGACTTCAAAGACTGGATATTGATGGATGACAATCCTTATAAAGCTGAATGTGGTCTTTGTTTGAAACAAATTGAAATTTCTATAATGGGAGAGTCAGCGCTAAAATTCACGTGAAAATTAAGTTTTGTTTTATCATTTCAATTTGTTTTTACATGGTTTTGCATAGCTTAATTTCTGTGTTTGTTTCAATTAAGCCATAAATTAATTTTTTATCACCTTCTGCGGAGTTTATTCTCTTTTTCACATACTATATGTATGGGATATCGGAATTATGAGTTTATTTCTGCAGAGGGTCTGTTATCGATTTCGCGGGAAATCTGTTGGCTCCATTTCGATTTTAGGTCACCAAGGGCAAATTCGGTAACGTTAGCCGAAAAAAAGTGAAGTTCCGAAATACGTTTTGAAGCTTCAATAGACAATTAAGTATTTGGTTTAATCCTGTGCTGTTGATAGTAATGCATTATTTTTGCTAATGGCAATACAATTATTAGTTGGAAACAACTAACTAATAAAAAATAGCTGAAAACAACTAATTGAAACTAATTTTCCTGAATTAACTAGACGCAAAATTAACTTTCATGAATTACTAAAAAGTTATTGGGTAGAAGTTTAATTGAAAATATACATTCCGTATATATATATATATACAGTACAAAGTCCGAGGTCGGGACTTGGGCGATCCCAGATTTGAGATTTTTCCGTATATTAGATCATTTTAAATCTACTAAGATGGCGCGTAGAAATTATAAAATTGAAAATATGAAATCGTGCTTTATGAAATAATGAAGCATTTATGATTTAAAGGGTATCAAAATTTACAAAAGAAAAGAGCTTAATATTTATATGTTTACTTTATTAAACATTTCTTTCAATGTGAGTTGTTTGATTTGTTTTCTCTGCTGATATTTTAGACTAATACTATAGACATATAATTTCTTGTTGAGTTATTAAGTTCCATGTTCAAGTCCTGTAATTGCTGTGTCGAGAATTCCGAATAACTTGTCAATCAAAATTTTTTCTCGTTCAGTAACCTCTCTGTTACTTTCTTCACTATCGGTAGCTGTATTTTCTGGATTTAGAACCATACTACAGATTTCGCCCTCCGTTAATTGATTGATGATTGGGGCATTGTCATCGCAATGAAAAACTTCTGTTTAACTTCCCTAGATTCTGCCGCCTGGTGCGGCCATGCGAGCTCTGGCGCTGGTTCTGGCTTTATGTGAATAATAAATCAGTTATTCTTAATTCAAATAGCACTAAATATAATCGTTTGTCCTATGAGTATCATTAACAAAATCTATTTTCAGCATAAGGAAAGAAATTTCTGTTAAATCTCCCCTTGTTAACATTTTAGCGCATTAAATTTAAATCTGTAATCGGATAATACTCTGTTATTTGGCGTCGCTGCATGAGTCATCACTCAAGTTGTCATCCGTTGATAAACATGCGGTGATGAAAGCAAAATACAATAAATAATGATTCCCGATTTTGGCATCAAGGATATAAAATATTAGTTGGTGTAAAATTAACAAATGTTTCCGGTTTGAGATTATGCCAAGCAGATACGCAGCTATGGAGTCAAGTTACTAATCACACAAATTTATGCTAAAATAATTATTGCTTCAATAATGAGATATTTTATTTAGCGCCAAACTGAGATTAAGAATCGGGATTTCCGGCATGTTTTTTTTATGATGAGGGAAAAAAAATCTAATGCGCATGCGTAAAGCATACCCCTTCCTTCCAAAAAAAGCCCTAAAAAATTGGTTGGTGGTGGTGGCTTTGAGGTCCGGATTTTAGATCATTCCAGATATTGGATGTCCGGATCTCGGAATTTGTACTGTGTATATATAGTAAAAAATTTATATTTTCAGTGTACATTTCTTATTATATATATATATAATAAGAAATATATATATATATATTGATACATTATATACATATATATGCGATACTTAATTTTACTAATGCCTTGCATGTAATGCCCCTTTTAGCTGCAAAACATCTTTTCCTTCTCAACTGCAGAGTTTCTTCTAACAGTATCATGAATTTTGTCAAGTTAAAAGAACCATCTACTTCAGGAAAAGATGTAACTGCTAATTCAACATCAATAAGTGTAGAAAATAATAAAATAAATTCTTTTCTTTTCAAATCTGAAGTTACCAGATACAGAAATATTGTGGGCTATTAAGTGCATCAAAAGCCACTATTCTTTAAAATCGTGTGATGATATTGGGCCTTTATTCACTAAAATGTTCCCGTATAGTTCCATTACAAAATAGTTTTCATGTGGTGAAAAGAAATGTGCTTATATCTGTTATTTTGGTCTTGGCCCTTATTTTAAAACTTTGTTACTAAAGCATTGTAAAAATGCTGAGTTTTTTACATTACTATTTGATGAGACTCTTAATCTGACAAATCAAAAGAAGCAACTAGATATTTATGTGAGGTACTGGCATCACGAAAATAAGGTCAGAACTCGGTACCTTACTTCTGCATTTATAGGGCATGCAAAAAGTGAAATTATTTTATCCAAATTTTATGAATGTATTGAAAAACTAGACTTGTGAAAACTCTTACAAATATCGATGGATGGTCCTGCAGTAAACTGGAAATTTTATGATTTATTGCAACAGGACTTGACAAAGGAATATAACATTCAATTCTTAACAATGCTTTCAAGCATAGGACGTCGTCCACTGGCTGGGACATTCCATCATTCTTATCCTCCTTATATTGGATTTTTAAAGATTCTCCTGCAAGACGTGAAGATTTTTTAAGTATATCTGGCTTAAAAAAGCTACCTGTGAAGTTCTGCTTTTACCGATGGTTGCAAAATGTCCCAGCAGTTGAAAGAGCCATTGAAATATGGGATGACTTGCTACTGTACATTAAAGAAGTTGAAAGGGGGAAGTTTAAAAAAAAAATCATCGAAATCCTTCTCAGATATTTTGGAGGCAACGAAAGATAAAACATTTCTTATAAAATTAAATTTTTCGAAATTGTCGAAAATATTATTGCCTTTCCTTGAATATTATCAAAGTGATAAACCACTTATTCCCTTTTTTGCTGAAGATATCTTAAAACTTGTAAATGATTGCCTTCAGCACTTTAAAATTTTGAAACTAGAATATTCAAAAATAACTAAAGCAGAAAATCTTTATAAATTTAATTTTAATGATCCATATTGTTATAATGATAAAAGTAAAGTTTATTTGGGATTCAATGCTGAGCAGTTAATGAATGATAAATGCCGCAAGAAGGACATTTCACAAGCTGAAAGTTTTGCATTGAAACAAGGTCAACAATGTGTCTTAACAATAGTACAACACTTAATGTCTAAATGTCCAATAAATTATTCTCTTATTTGAAATGCATCTTGTATAGACCCACGATTGATGGTTAAAAGTCCAGAAAAAGCCCAGAACAAAATGAAAATAGTTCTAACGGTAATTATGCAGAATAAACGTGTTTTACAAGATGATTGGGATGAAATTCTGCTGCAGTTTGGAGAGTTTCTAGACAAAGTAGTTAAGACAAATTTACATGAATTTTCTACTTTTGATCCTCAAAATCTTTCTCTTGACACATTTCTCACTTCTTATTTTCATGATTTTCACTATTCAAAAATATGGAAAATAGTGAAAATGATGATGCTTATCTTGTCACATGGACAGGCCTCTGTGGAAAGGGGCTTCTCTGTAAATAAAGCAATTGAAATTGAAATTGAAAATTTAAGTGACTCATTTTTACATTTTTCAACGCACAGTATTTGATTACTTACATAAAATTTTCTGGAGTTGTTCTTAATATCGAAATTAATAACGAAATGAGATTAGCAGCAGCTTCTGCAAGATCTAAATATATGCAGTATTTAGAAGAAGAACAAAAATCTTTAACTAAATCTGAAAATTCAAAGAGGAAAAGAAATATCATTGAGGAAGAAATTGATTATATGAAGCAGAAGAAAAAATTTCTTCAAAGGGGACATTAAAGATATTAATGAAGAAGTAGATGCTTTAGCAGATGAAGCTGAGACCAGCATGAACATTGATTTGTTTATCAAAGCAAATGAACTTAGAAGAATAGTTAAAGAAAAGGAAATAGACATAAATAAATTAGATGTTAAAATAGCTGAAAAGATTTCAGATTTAAAAAAAAGCACGAATTTTTTGTATCTTTTATTGTACAGTTTATTATTCTAGTATCTTTCAAAAAAACCAAGGAAATAAATTGTATGTTTACAAATCAGTTATTTTAATCTGCAAATATTTTCTTACATTGTGATTATAATAGTAGTTGACTGTGTTTAAATAATAAATATCAAATAAGTTAATAATAATCATGTAAATCTCTAAAATAGTGAGTGTTATTAGTGTGAAATACACTTATACATATTTTTAAAGAAATTATGTTCCTAATTTAATGTTATCTACTTCATAACTTGTAGGGAATTAGTTTAATTTTCAAAATTGTTTTATGGTAAGTATTAAAGTGAATTTAATAATAGTGCATAATACACACTTCTGTTAGTTTCTTAAAGTGAAATTGCAAGCATGAAGTCGGTTTGTATGGATAATTGCTTTATTCTATTTGTTTTTTTGTTTGCTGATAGGTCCTTAATTTTTTCTTTGATGGTCTTTAAAAGTCCTTAATTTTCATGTAAGAAAATGTGTACGAACCCTGTAAACAGAATATGTAGATTCTTCTATTGTTGAAGATTAAACTCTTTTGAGGCTTACCACAAAGTGATCTAAGTTCTTAGATATTCCTGTTACTTAAGTGCTCAAAACATACTGAAAATCTTTTGGTAAGAGGCCTAAAGTGTTTAAGAAGAAAAATATTTTTTGAAATTCACAATGGGTATAAAGCATTTGCCTTTTCAGTAACACAGAATGAAAACTAAAACTGACTGCTTAAAAGACATTTTGTTCAGAATCATTTATGATGTATGCTCGTGATAAAGAAGAAATTATTGATAATTCATTTGACATTGAAGCTGGTCAAAACAACTGATATTTTCCATTCGCAGGCTGCCTTTTGTAATGATATATTTAAATCGCATTATTTCAACTACATATTTAGAAAATGCATTTTCTTATATTCCTACTCATTTTGACATAACTGTCATTATAGATACTCATATTTCCCTAGCCTTATGCTAAAGAATGTAAAGAACAGAAATATTTCTTGATTTAACCCAAGAATTTCTTGAGGTAATTACTTTTTCCACAAAATTAATTTTGAATTTTCACATGGGGATAGAAAGCATTTCTTTAGATGGGTTCACATATACATTCATAGTTTTATAAATGTTTCTGCTATATACTAATGAATGTTTTTTATATAAATGTACTAGTGCAGTGGTTCACACCTTTGTACATTTTATTCCTCCCTATAACTAATTAAATTTTAACTAAATTAACTGTTAAATGCATTATTTAACAGACTAATTGAACAAATAAAAATTTCAAATGGATACTAATACTTTGAAGTTCACTTAACTTTCATGAAGGTAATAGTTAATGAATAACCTCTGATCATTTTCATCTCCAAGTCTGAGTGTGTGTGAAAGTATAGGTAAAGAAGTGTTTGAAAGAATGTAATGCAGATCATTTTAACTTCCAATATAATTTGCTGCTTTGTTTTCAATAGCACTGTCAGACTTGTTAAGTTATTTTGACACAACTGGAAGCCATGCACAAATAACTTATTGTTTGCTGTCATGTTTGCTTAGGACATAAGATTAAGGAACAACGCAATCTGCAACATTAAGTGAAATAGATAATTTTAACGTAGCTTATACTGTCTGTTATACATTAAACGCACATGCGTAAATGTATTATGTGCATGCGTAAACGCTACACATGTGCAGAAAGATTGTAGCTTTAAGGTCCGGATTAAAGACTTTGTACTGTATAATTTTAATTTTGTGAAATGTTTTGCATGTCTTTTTTATGAAACAAAGTTCTTAACTTCCTTTATACCATTTGAATTCTTAAGATTTTACAATGGAAAGTTGGTTAATTTATTTATTAGGGTAATTAATATTTGTATTAAGGGATAGTGCTTATTTCATTGTAATTTTTTAAATAGGTGATACATTTTTATTGAATTTTTTTTGGTAAAGTTTTTCTGCAGAGTAAAATTCTGTGCAGGTTTTAAATTTAATGTTTGGTGTTCCCTTTAGGCATTTTTATGGTGCATTTAAAAGCCAGATGAAGGTTTTTAAATCATGCACTTTTTTCTGATCCATCAGTTTCTTGACATGACTTTCGGATGACAGGTAATATTAAATGACAAGTAATGCCTGTACTCAATATAGACACTGCGGTCACAAGTATCAATTTCTTCTTCCTGGGCCTTCTTGACCCAGAAAGTCTCCACTTCAGTCATCCATTTAGCTTTAACAACTGGAAGCCATGCACAAATAACTCCAGAATAAGTCCAGTTCTTAATTCTGGGTTTTCGTAATAGTAATATATCTGAAAAAGTAAAATATTAGTCTATATTCTTTCTTTTTGTCGCTAAATTCTCGTTAGGAAAGATAGGCTCACTCTTCTCAGCAATGCAGTTTGCTATTAAGATTTCTTGTTTCTTTCCTTTTCACTTTGTTATTTTATGATCTTCATTAAGAATTTTTGAAGATTTATGGCAAAGAGTATTTTCTAGGGTGTGCCATACCACTGCAGCTCATTTTTTTGAAAGGGTTTCTACTTTCTGTCCTCTTGTCAATAAGTCCAAAATATTCTCAGGGTTGCAATAATAATTCCACCAATCTGGATGGGTTTTTTCTGGGATTTTTAGGCATCTTTTAACCCTCTGAGTGATATAGGATTTTAGATCCATCATGAAGACCAGTATTTAAACAGCATTTATTAATTTAGTTTGTATAATTACTTATTTTAGTCTGCATTTTCATAAACTTACATTCATTAAGATGATATTTACATTATTAAAGAAAGTAAGAAAGCAAAATATCTTAAATTATAAGTCAATATATATACCAAGTAGCAAAACTTCTGATGACCGGATAAACACGGTCAT